AAAAAAAAAAACAGCTTACTTGTCTAGCCGCCTCCTTTTATTCTTACACACCCCCTTACGTCACGAAAAGTCAGAGCCCCAGTATGCAGATTGGGAAACTGAGGCTCCAAGACGCCTCCTATTTTGCAGTGCGATTTCCCTACCTACGAGACCTGAGGCCCTGCCTAGAGCGGGACGTCTCCGCCTCCCCAGCACACACATCCACTCCAACCCCAGAAAACCGTAGGGCCGGAGCCTTCCTTTTTAAAAATCAAAAAAGAACGTTACATTTCCGGCCTGCAAACCTGGGCCGCCAGCGCAGTCGGCGGAAAGGGGGCATGTGGGCGCGGGTGAAGTTTCTCTCCAGCGCCGAGGCCCACCCACCCAGGCGCAAACACCCGGAGCAAGCGCGCCCGGCGGCTCCTCCTCCCGCGGAAGCGGCTAATCGCGCGGCGCCAGGACGGCTCCCCACCTCCCCCGCCGGGCCTGGCCGCCGTCCCAACCTCGAGCCACAGCTGGCGCGGCCAGGCCTGGCGGGACTGGCTCCGCTTCCCGCGTGCCGCGCCCCCCGCGCCTCACCCACCGCCCCTCGAGTCCCCCGTCCACGGCTCCTGCCTGCTGGCAAGAGCGGCGGGGAGGGCGGGGAGAACTCCCCCAGCTAACAGAGAACAGGTGGCCTGGCGGGAAGCGCTACCCGACGTCCGCCGCGAATCCCTCCAGGGGCTGCCACACCCACCCCTTGCCCTAAGGAAGAGCAACCCGCGTTCCCCAAACAAGCCTACAGAAACCCTGCCCGGAGACCCCCGCCCGCTGCGGAGCTAAACGACCCTGCAGACTGCGGGACGATGGGGGAGGCAGCGGCAGAGAAGGCCGAGGCTCCAGCCTTGCGGCTCCTCCAGCCGGGGGCGCCCACCACGCCCCTCCTGGAGTCCCCGAGAAGAGCTCCCTACCTCGAGTTCCGCTCTGCTCCGCCGGCCGCTTCGCTCTGACTGAGAGCACGGAGCTGGGGAAGGGGCGTGGCCCGCGGGCCCGGGTGGGGCACCGAGGCCCCGCCCCCAGGAGCTCCCGACCAATGGAGCTGCAGGAGGGAACCCAGGAAAGTAGGGGCGGGGCGGGCGGGAATGGAGCGGACAGGACCTTTGTGTCCGCGCCGGCGACTGGCGGGAGCGCAGGGAGCAGATCGCGGGCTGTGCGGGGTTGGGCTGCACCCACCTGCAGAAAACGCCCCTGAAAGCTGGTGGAATTGGGTCCCTACGCCCGTGCACTTCGTTCCAGTCACCACGCGAGCCAGGTGCAACCCCCACCTGCCTTTGGCTTCGGAAGCCTGATAAGCCCGGGGTGCGTCACTTTTAGCATAACGGAGATGAAGGAATGAAAAGAAAGAAGAAAACAAGCAAACAACAGGAGGAAAAAGGAAAGAAAACATGCGCGCGCGCGCGCGCACACACAGACACACCCACCCACACACACACAAACACACCAGGAAAACGAGTTTTTTCCCGTTTGGGATATTGGGTTTTTTCTCTTTTCTTGTTTCACTTCCAGCCTTCCTTGAGTCCTCTGTTTTTGGGGGTAAAGGATGTTACTTCTGTTTTACAGGAGAGGAAACTGAGGCACAGAGAGGCGACAGCCAGTTTCCATATCGAAAAAATAAAAAAAATAAAAATAAATAATTCACTTGGGCTGGGCGTGGTGGCTCACGCCTGGAATCCCAGCACTTTGGGAAGCTGAAGCAGGAGGATCTCTTAAGCCCAGGAATTCAACACCAGCCTGGACAACAGAGTAGGACCCCTTCTCGACAAAAATATATATATTTTTAATTAGCCAGGAGTAGTAGCACCCACCTGTAGTCCCAGCTCCTGAGGAGGCTGAGGTGGGAGGATCCCTTGAGCCCGGGAGATCGAGGCTGCAGTGATCTGTGACTGTGCACTGCACTCCGGCCTGGGCAACAGAGTAAAGTTTATAGCAGTATTGCTCATAATAGCCAAAAGGTAGAAACAGCTCAGATGTCCATTAAGTGATGAAAGGGTAAACAAAATGTTGTGTGTCTATCTATACAGTAGACAAATATTTGGTGGTCAACAGGAGTGAAATCTTGATGCGTACCACAGCACAGAGGAACCTTAACAACATGCTAAAAAGTCAGAAACAAAAGGCCACATATTGTGGACTCCGTCTGTATAAAATGTTCCGAATAGGGCCTGGCACTGTGGCTCACACCTGTAATCCCAGTACTTTAGGAGGCCGAGATGGGTGGATCACCTGAGTTCAGGAGTTTAAGACCAGTCTGGCTAACATAGTGAAATTGCAGCTCTACTAAAAATACAGAAAATTAGCCGGGCATGGTGGTGAGCACCTACAATCCCAGCTATTTGAAAGGCTGAGGCAGGAGAATCGCTTGAACCCAAGAGGCGGAGGTTGCAGTGAGCCAAGATTGCTCCAATGCACTTCAGCTTGAGCAACAAGAGGGAAACTTGGTCTCAAAGAAAAAAAAAAATGTCTTGAATAGGCAAATCCCTAGAGACAGGAAGTAGGTTAGGGGTTGCTAGAGGCTGGGGGTAGTGGAGGGGGATAGATGGTTGATACTTAAAGGGTACAGGGGTTTTTCTTGAAACGATGAAAATGTGCTGCAATTGATGGTGGTAATAGTTTAACAAGTCTGAGTATGCTAAAAATCATTGAATTGTGTGCTTTCAGTGGGTGAATTGTATGTTGTGTGAATTATGACTCAGTTAAGCTGTTTATTAAAAAGTCAAGGCTATGCAGGGCGTGGCAGCTCATGCCTGTAATCCGAGCACTTTGGGAGCCCAAGTCAGGCAGATCATAAGGTCAGGATTTCAAGACCAGCTTGGCCAACATAGTGAAACCCTGTCTCTACTAAAAATACAAAAATTAGCAGAGCATGATGGCATGTGCCTGTAGTCCCAGCTAGTTGGGAGGCTGAGGCAGGAGAATTGCTTGAACTCAGGAGGTGGAAGTTGCAGTGAGCCAAGATTGTGCCACTGCACTCCAGCTTGGGCAACAGAGCAAGACTTCATCTCAAAAGAAAAAAAAAAAGTCAAGGCCAGGCACAGTGGCTCACATCTGTAATCCCAGTACTTTGGGAGGCCAAGGTAGGTGGATCACTTGAGCTCAGGAGTTCAAGACCTGCTTGGCCAACATGGTAAAACCCCATCTCTACTAAAAACACAAAAAGTAGCCCATCGTGGTGATGGGCGCCTGTAATCCCAGCTATTTGGAAGGCTGAAACAGGAGAATCACTTGAACCCAGGAAGTGGAGGTTGCAGTGTGCCGAGATCATGCCACTGCACTCCCACCTGGGTGACAGCGAGTCCCTGTCTCAAA